TAGTGTGATCTCAGGTAAAAGTGAGCACTAATTGCAGTGACTTTCTTATATTTTCCTATTTCAAGCCTCAGTGGTAAAATATATCTGAGCACTGATATCTTTAACCTTGTCATCTTGTATATACAGTGTTACTGATTGTCTTCAGTATCGTTCAGAACACATAAGATCAAAATATCCATGTGAGGATAGTGAATGTATATGAGGAGGATGTACACCTCTGTAACCACAATGTTGTTTCTCACTTGATGTTAAAGGACTCTTTGATGCTTGCCTCTGCTTGCTTACGTGTAATACCTTTCCAGCTGGCAGGAATATCAGCAGGCTTTGCGTTATATTTTTTGGCAAACTTATCGTTGAACCTTTCCAGTACATATTTCCAGTAGTCTGATGCCTGGAGGCTTGCTTCTGGAACAATTTTCCAGTCAGGGAAAATTTCTTTGTAACGCTTGAAAGGGTGCAATTGACCTTTGGTAGCATTGCAGCAAAAACAAATGTCAGTGAGCACAGAGGAACTGCATATGTCAATGGCAAGTTTATTTGTCCAAAACCACCTATATGCACCCAGACCATCTGGCCGATGGAGTGAGGTCCAGTGCTCAGTGTGGGTTTTTTCTCCTGCCTCACAAGGTGCTTTGCAGAATGGACACTGTTTACCACATCCAATTAGTTTGGTGAAAAGCTCGTTCTGAGGATTCACATTGAGTTTTCTTAGTTTCATCTGGATGTTTGTTTCTTTAAACTCTTCTCTAAGAGCTTCTGTCATGTCCTTCAGACAGTCAGTGAGCCAGTGAGCAAACTGTTCTGGGTCGGCATTGTTCAGGATCATGAAAGCACCAAGAGCATCCTGGGAAATGACCAGTTTATCACCAAGATCCTGACAGACATCTTCAACAAATGTCTTCAAGTTGCCACTCTTTTTGGTTTTAGCTTTGATGATAGCATTAGTTATGTTCCTGATGCTTGACTGAACATGTTTATCCTCAAGCTCAAACATGATAGACCCTTTTGAGAAGCGTTCTACTATTTGGTCAAGGATCCATTTCTTTACATAATACTCATATGAACCAATGTAGCTCAGATATTTTTCAAAGTCATCCTTTGTGAGCAAATCCAGTAAAAATGAATACTGGAGGTATATTCGTGTGCTGAACTGCTGGCTTGTCATCATTTCACCAATGATATCAGGACCCAAGGAACGCTTGACAAAGTCTTCAACTGCAGGCTTCAGGCAGCAGTTTGTGAATTCTTCTGCCTTCTTCTGGCACTGGTCTCGTTTATGGAACACATCTTTAAAATCAGTTAGAAACTTTGCTTTGTTTTCATTCAGACATCTGTAGGGATCATTCTCATGTATGAAATCTTCATGCATTTTCTGAAACTGTCTGGCTGCATCTCCACAGATGTGCTGTTTCAGAGAAACTTCAAACTCAATCTCTGTCTTCACTTCCTTATTGTTTTGCAGCTTCACGTCAATCATGTGGAGGATCTCCTGAATGTAAGTGTCATGGTAATTGCTTTTTCTTTCCACTTTTTCAGTCACATACTGTTTGCAATCTGCTATGATACTGTCAGCCATTTGCTGTACAGACTTTATGTGATCTTCAATGTTGAACCACTTGGAGATTTTGTGTTTCAACTGGTTGAAGAATCCTTCTGCAGTATATATGAAAGGAACAAGTCCACATTCTGTCAGGGTTTTTTCACTTAACAACTGACAGACATGACTTCCCTTACGTCTTAGATTTTCTCTCAGGTAGTGGTACACCCTTGCAAAGACATCTGCAGGCTTTTGCTTAGAGAAGGAGAGTTCCTTCACCATTCTGTTCCACATCTTATCAAATTCTTTGTCCAACTCTTTGCCTGTCATCTCTACATTTTTTCCCCGACATTGTTCAATCAATGCACACACTCTAACCTCTAATTCTTTTGCGTGGTTATCATAGATTTTATCAAGTTCTGACATTCCCTGTCTGATGTCAGCTGTTGCTGTGAGTTGATTAAACACAGAGCTCTCCATTTCTCGTCGAAGGGTCTTTGCACTGTTTGCAAAGTCTTCTCTGTATCCTTCAACAAGATAGACGTGACCCTCTGTTTGCTTGAAGTACTGTGTCAAATTGTCAAGAAGCTTTGTCTCCCATTCCGTCAGCACTGTGCACGCTTCACTTTTCAAATGGTCAAGAAATTCTCTCATGTCAGGTATCTCAGATTCCACAGCAAATTTGCCAAAATTGGAAATTCTTGTCTCAGCATTTGTAACCCATATGTACATTTCTTTTTTGAATTCCCATTCCCATTTGTTGAATTCTGTGCACAGCCTCATGTATGCATCAGCCACCAGACTGTTTCTGAAGCTGAAGATGAAGTTTTCATGCTTTACTGCATTCCACAGGTTTTTCATCCACTCTGTAAACTCCAAGATATTATTAGCAGATGACTCACAACGTCCCAAAATTTGGATTACATTTTTCTTGAGCTCATATACAGCTTCGCTGTACCCTGCATTGACTGGTGCCATTGGTGGGTTTCCATTCCAGAGTCCAGGAATGTACCAGTTCCCAGTGTCTGGACTGTACTCCATCACATCAGTGAAGCTCATGTTCTCCTCTTTCTTTTCCATTTTGGCTGCTGCCTGGGTCATCTCATTTAACTGCTGCAAGAGCAGTTTCCTGTCTCGTAAGTTCTTCTCATGAGCTGAAACATCCGACACATTCTGGTGGACAAACTGACATTTGGGCTTTTTGCCCACCTCTGTCATCCTGAGAAAAGCATGCACAACTATTTGTAGGATGTCTTTCATTTCAGTTGAATTCTCCATTGCGATATTGATGATGGTGATATCACTCAGCCCCACAACAAGTGTTGCAAGCTCATTGTCGTGCTCATGGCTATTATCCAGTTGTGCAAGCTCTGGTGACTTTAAGCCCTCAGTGTCAATGATCACCATGAAGTCACAGTTGAGGACTTTTTGAACATCTTCATTGATTCTGATGAGCAACATAAAGGCACCTCGAGTGCATCGCCCACTGCTGACTGCAAACTGCACTCCAAACATGGTGTTGAGGAGAGTAGACTTTCCTGTGCTCTGAACTCCAAGAACTGTGACCACCAGTATCTTGTTCTTAGGAGACACCAAGCCATTGAGCTGAGAGAGGACGTCACTCACCCATCTGAGAGGTATGTTGGAGGCATCTCCATCTACAAGCTCAAGGGGAAATCCATCAAGTAACAATTCTGCACATAGTTTGGGCAGATGTTGAAACTGTTTTCGTGATGGGTGTGTTTCTGGAAGAGACAGTGAAGCCTCATAGATCTGACCCATTTCACGGAAGAAGTGTTCAGTCCCCAGTGAGCTGTTGGAGAGTTGTCTGTCAATTTCTTTGATCTCCTCTTTGTTCTCAGAATTTTTGCATTTCTTTTTGTACTGATCTCGGAGGCCAGACAGTTTTTCTCGAGACAGGTTATCAAGGTTCATTCGCATCCATTTCAGGAAATAGCACCTCTCTATCCCTGGTCTTGTTATTGCGTTGATAAAACACGTCATTGCATTTGACATGTCACAAGTGTTCTGTTTTTTCCTAAGTTTTGTTTTCTGTACCTCAAGGTCACTTTTGTACTTTTCTACGTTCTCAGACCCAATATTTCGGAGCCGAAATTGTTCCTTCTCCAAGCGAGTCAGTTCCTTCCATATTTGGCCTTGCAGGGGTAGCTGAGTGTCTTTGCATTTAAGGATGTCTTGAATTTCTGCAGTTATGGCATCTGCATTTTTCTTGGCACTCTGGCACTCTGAAGAGTCTTCATCAACCAAGATTCCCAGTTCATGGGCAATGTCAGCCATCTGCTCAATTTGCATCTTCATCTTTGAGTTCTCAACTACTTTGCTGACTGTTTTCCTCAGATTTTTAACAAAGTCTGCATCATTCATCTGCTTAGTCTTTAAAAGGATGTTGCTGTTGTTCAAGCCCAACTTGGTTGCCACCTTCTTTACAGCATCAACACTGAAGTGCTTACTTTGATGGTTACCTACCAAAAAGATCTGTGCCTTGTGGCGTTGGTTGGTGAGCAGCTCACACTCAGAGTCCAAATTGTCAAAGAACACAAAAACTGCTGCTGATGTCTGACACAAAAAAGAAAATTGTGTTTCAAACGAGGCAATGTCTCCACGAAGGTTAGCTACAGCTACTGGCTCACTGAAAATATCCATGTTTTTGTTCCCACAAGGAAGGTACCAAGTCATTTCAACCAGTCCATTGGATATTCTCCTTGGACTGTCACCACACTCCATGTTATTGTCACCACACTCCATGTTACAGTGAACAAATGTATCATGGTACTGCTGAGAATTGCTCAGAAGCTTATTGAGGATCTCTGACTTGGACAGGGAGCACTCACCCAGTCTCACAAAAGATATCATTGGAAGTTCAGAGAGAACAATTCTTTGTTCAATGAAGCCTTTGGACTCTGAAAGTGACTGAGGTCTGTACTTTTTAACGATGTCTCTCATGGCCCAAAGCATGAGTGTGCACTGCTTTGTGTCAAAATTGGGAAGCAACAGAGGCACAGAAAACTGACACATAGACATTTTGAGTGCCATTTCCTGTTGTACAGAAGCATCAGAACACAGAAAGAGAGCAGTGATTATGTCAAGGGGGTTTAACATGTCATCTGAATGTTGACTGACGAGCAGATCATCAAGCTCTAACTCTGTATTCCCTGACGGCTCATCACAGTTTGACTCACATGCAGCTGTACATTTCATATTCCTAGCTGTCACATTAACCATCATCAGTTTCTTCAGAAAATACCATGGAAGATCTGAATGGCACTTGGCAGGTTCATCCGTAATGGTCTTCTCATCAATCTAAAGTATTGTGTTCAGGGATAGCTTCTCTGTGAAGTGCTGCTCCAACCCCAGGTCCTCCAATAACATCTCCAGTTGTGTCTCTGTGGACATAAAGATGTTTATTTTAAATTAATCAGAAGTGTTTTAAGAAAAGTATGGATCCAAAGGTAACTGACCCATGCATACATGCCAAACTGTTCGGGAGCACAACCGCGGGGTCGTGGTCATTACGCGTCGCCGTGGCAAGGAGAGACGAGGACGTCCTTCTTCATTGAACATGTAATGGCTCCTTAATTAGCAAGTTGACTTTACATAGACGGCATATCTTTTCAATTTCTCCTGACATTGTGTTGTTTGGTTTGTTCACAGCTGCGTGACATGCGCGTTAGTGTCGAGCGGGCGGAGGCGTTGATCTCCTCCCCCCCCCCCACCCTCCGCTTTCTCACTAAGCAGCCTCCCTCTGTCTCTTCTCACTCAGCCTCGTTCAGCCTCGATCTCGTCAGCATGCGCCACACACGCGCTGTCGTCCCCCCCCCCCCCCCCCCCCCCCCCCCCCCCCCCCCCACACACACACACACACACACACACACCTCGCGATCATCGCGTCATTTAAAAAAGACATCGTGAAACAACCCTTCTATCGCCGATGGGCGAACCCTAGTTTCTCCACCTTGATTGAAATCCACCTGTGGTAAATTCAGCTGTATGAAAGTATAAACAAAGGTTGCACACTCTGGCTCTATATGCACTGTTCTTTCATTCAGATGACTTTTCAACCCTCAGGCCATCTTCAAGATCAGTCACAATTAAATTCAATTGAATGGGGATGATTACAAAGTCTCACAGCTGACAATGCATATAAGAGAATTGCAGAGCTCAGAGATTGTTTTGAGGCACAGATATCAGGATGGTTTTAAAATGTCTGCTTCACTGAGGGTTGAAAAAAGAAAAAAACGATCCGCACACCAAAAGAGCTCCCGTATACAATTTTTTTTACGCAAAATCAAAAATTGCATACGGGAGCTCTTTTGGTGTGCAGATCGTTTTTTTCTTTTTTCATGCTTTTGATACTTTGTGATCCAGCACCCAACCCAGTGGGCTTCAGGGATGTGTGTGTCCTATTTTTTATCATGCTTCATTGAGGGTTCCTAAGAGCACAGCAGCCTCCAACAACCAGGACTTTTCTGAGAGCTGACCGCCTGACTAAACTGAGCAACTGGGGGGAAAGGCCTTGGTAGAGCCTGGTGGTCACTCTGGCTGAGCTCCAGAGTTCTTCTGTAGAGATGGGAGCAACTTCCAGAAGGACAGCCATCACTGCAACACACCACTGGTCTGGGTCCCTATTCACAGAGCTAACTGAGCTAAACTTCTGTTCATTCCTGAACTATAATATTAAATTCAGAATGTCCACAAACAATCAGAATATCCTTTGAACTCCTTGTTGTTTTGATCAGCTTTGTCAAGACAAAATATACATTATCTGACATTATCACTGATGATTTCAGTTGCTTTCATTTTATTTATTGCTATCACGTGAAAAATGATGTCATTGCAAACCTACTATACACCTTTTTTACACAATTATTGTTTTGTAAGCCTTCACAGAGTCAGAACATTGACACTATTGGTCGAACTTAATGACTTATTGCTTTTGTTTCTTTATAACAATGCTTTACTTTTACTCACTTGTGTGTGCAGATGTTACGACAGGCTGGCTTATTCTGTCATTCTTCAGTTCTTCATCAACATGGATCACGTTTTGTGCTCCTGGCGTTGAGCTGTTGTCCTGCATGTTTTCCTCCTGTCTGCAATTGATCACAATGTAGCTCTCCTCTTCACCAGCAGGAGTGTCCAAAGGCAGAGACACTAGCTGGCTGCTGACATGATAGACTGTTGTCTTCGAAGGAGGGCAGGACACTGTGGAAATAACAATAATAATGACTTTACTCAAAGCTACTTTCTGTACAGACTGCACACCATTTAGTGCCTCTGTGCTCAACATTAGATTGTATGAAGCTGACCTTTATCACTTGCATCAGTCTGACGACAGTCACTCTTGCTGTCAGAGCACAGTGTTGACGGAGGGTCCTCTGCTTCCTCACAGTAAAGCTCAATAATTGAGCCTTCATCACTGATTCCCTAGATAAATGACAAACATATAATGCAATGGAATGAATCAACTGTCTCACCCATATAGTTTTACGAGGCTGAAGTTGACAACTTATTCACAGCCTCTTATTGGAATTTTCCGGTCCACCTTAAAAGTGTCATTATGCCTGTAGATGGCGGTATTCAGTCGTTTTCCAACTAATTCATGAACTGACGACGCTGAAGTTAGCTTCCGATTCACCAGCTTCCAATTCGGCACTTCGGCATAAATAGAATAAAGGTTTCACAAATCAGAAACTGTGTTATAATGAATGTTTAGCCTCTGTAGGATATTCTAGGCCAGATTTGAGAAGTCTAGGTACAGTGTTTTCTTTTATCTGGATCTGGTCTAATGAGGTCTAGGTATAAAACAAAAACGGTGGAATCTCCCCTTTAGCATTTTCACAAATAAAATAAATGTTTCACAAATACAATAGTGGGTGTCAGGCAAAACATTCATGAGGGTTGGGGCGTCGGTGGCTTAGTGGTAGAGCAGGGGCCCCGTGTACAAGGCTGTTGCCGCAGGGGCCCGGGTTCGACTCCAGCCTGTGGCCCTTTGCTGCTTGTCACTCCCTCTCTCTCTCCCCCCTTCACACTTACCTGTCCTGTCCATTAAAGGCAAAATGGCCAAAAAAATATCTTTAAAAAAAAAAAGCAAAACCTTTCCCCTTAAGTGCTGAATCGGAAGCTAACTTCAGCGTCATCAGTTTATGAATTAGTTGGAAAACGACTGAATACCTCCATCTACAGGCGTAATGACACTTTTAAGGTGGACCGGAAAATTCAATAAGAGGCTATGAATGAATGAAGGTACTAACTTCAGCCTCCTTACAGTTTTCCCATTTGATTTTATGTATCTTTTAGAGATGTAGAAACCAGCTGTTTACCTCCATTGTGGGTTGACACTGTTATCCCACACTCACTCCAGGTTATTCAAAGAGTTTCTCACTGGAAGTCATGAGAAACAAGGTGTTATTCCCTTTAAGACAAAGGTACTAAATTTCCCACCAAGTTTAAAATACTACGCAGCCTATTTGATGGCATTATTTTCCAAATCACAACAGGAATTTATAGCAGTCTTGTTTTAGACACCAACCTCCACCCCCTTCACATGACTGGTTCATGGATATTCAAAACGTCTACTATGATGGAAATTTTGTACTTCATGAAGAGAGATGGGAACTAAAGTCACACGCAGGAATGTTCAATGTAATTGTGTAGTGTGACCTGTGACCTGTGACCCTTTGTGTTGTTTCATGACACTAAGGTATTGAATAATCACTCAAGGTATTGAATATATACTCAAGGTTATCACTTCCTTCTTGTGAATGATTCCTTTAAGTGCAGAAGGGCAGAGTGATGAACACACCCACAGAGACAGATAAATACCAAGCTTTTCTCCTCAGACACTGAGTCTTCACTTTGTAACCGACCTGCATGTTGCTCTGTGAATGCTCCTCTTGTACAAGATTAAACCCTTGTTTGAATCTTGAGCTGACTCCCATCTCCTTCCTCCAGTTCTAAATTATTGCAGAATTATTTTAACATCTACATCATTTAAAAAGAATATACATCATGACAACAGAATGGAATATGTCATGTGTAGACTTAATTTTATGGTTGCTTAAGAAAATTACCCTACAAACCAGTGCCCCACCCCTTTGTCACCCATGAAAATAAGAAATTTGTATAGTGATACCTTTAGTAAATTTGTAATATATTCTAATTCCAACAAAGACATAGGAGGTAGAGCAAAATTTATATTTTTCCTCTTATACACACCTGCCTCTATCCGCTGAATTAGTAAAACGCCATAGTTATCGGTCCCCACCACACACACACACACACACACACACACACACACACACACACACACACACACGCAGTCATCGCTTATCTGAAGCCCATTAAATGCACATAAAGAATTAACATCGCCACAATAACGATACTAATGCTTTGTTTAGTATTTACAACAACATTAATGAATATATCATAAATTACTGTTTGTACAGCCCGGGCTTGATTGAATGACATTTCTTTAAAAATCAGCTAAAAGCTCAAATCAATTAAAAAAGAAAATCACATAGCAACCCACCTTTGAGGAAGACACGAGCCCATGGCAGTATTGCATTCTCTTATCCCGGACTTTCCTTAACAATGCAGTTCGTAGGTAAACGTAGCGCCTCTCGCAGTTTGTGCCAGTGCAGCCCTGCAGTGCAGACTTCTCTTTTAATACTGCTCAGATAGTCACTTTCACTTTTGGTATCCAAAAATAGTTTAACGGTCAGGTGGTTTCTCGGAAACCAGGACTGAGTTTACAGTAAATTGCATCAAAAACTTGTTGGAATCCCCATCAGACAGCTTAGTACACAAAGTAGTTAACACGGTTTGTTAGAAAGTCATTGTTGTGGCCATGAGGATCACACATGTTTGTTGCACAGATTTATTTGTTCCCTTAGTGCTCAGTAGTTACGTATATTCACTATTTTCAGTACTATGCAGTGTAGCCTCTCCAAAATCAATTCATAAATGAATTGTCTTGTGTAAATTATACTACAACTCTTAGTTTGGAGAAATATGCTTCCCAATAATTTGAGGGATTTTTAATTCTATTGAATTTTCAGATCATTATCAATACATCATCTCCTGACTGCCTGGCCACTTCCTTTAAACCAATCAAATGAAGGATGCGTAAGGTTGCTAACTCACTAGCCTGTGGAGTCTTTTGTTGCCTCCTCATCATGTGGTACAACCACTGCATTATGATACACGTCACATCAGCTGGACTAATCCACTATAGAACCATGGTTTGGTGAAGGAGTGACTTGACTAAATCTGAGTGTAAATCTGAGTGTGTTTGGCTCATTAAATGCACTTCTTATGCTATTTAAGCATAAATGTTTTTGAAATGTGGATTGTTTATTTTTCCCTTTTAATTCTGTCACTATCATTACCTAATGATGTTAGGAAGGCCACTCTCAATTTTAGTAATATTATTTTGTATTGTGAGGAAATTAAAGGTTGTACAATGCAGTGTGAAGAAGACCAGCCTCTTCTATATTGTTTATATATTGTTATATTTTAATATTAAGGCTATTATAGCCTATTGTACATTACGTTTTTTCTGTGACGTGTTGTTTGAGCTGTTCTTTTTCTGACAGCTTTGTGATATCATGCTATTAAAGAGCATAAAGAAAGATCCTGGGTATCTTCTCCTTCTTAGGATAGAGCTTTCAATTTTGTGAATAATTTTGTCGTATTCCACGGCACTGGCTGCAGTGTATTTGTGACCAATCCCACCCCCCTGCAGAGCCGGAGACAGAGAGTATAGAAGCACAAGAGACGAAACGCTGGTGCTTTTTTGACAACCGCCACTAGATGGCGCTTCTGTAGCGCTGACGCCGTTTTGGACTGAAAACGCCAAGGTAACCAAATGTAAGAGCATGGACATGCAGTAGGTGGACAACTATAAGTGTTAATGTTTCAGTGTTAACTTTGATATGACAGAAGCTGATTTCTCTCTGCTTGAGTTATTGTCCATATGCATCAGACACTGTAGGCAAGGCTATTTGTCGACATGATCCTATGGAATAAAACAATATGACCAACATTAAAAATATCATAACATAAGCACATGCTAATGAACAATTTATTAATGTTTGTCAGCTGTTTTCTCAGTCATGATGACTATGCACCATCTTCTTTTTTGTTTACAATTTAAAATGTGTCATTGTGAAGAAAATAAAATCCCAAATGTTCTGAGTGTTCAAATACCTTAGAGCTGAAACATTGTCTGATTGAAAGAGAATTTATTTGCAAGGATTTTGATAATTAATTGTTTGAGCAATTCTTTAAAGCAAAAAGCAAATATTTATGTCATCCAGCTTGGTAAAATAAAATGTATTGAATTTGCTTCTTTTCTTTGTCTTATATGATATGATATGATATGATATGATATGATATGATATTATATGATATGATAAGATACACCTTTATTGATCCCACAATTGAGCAATTCCAGTGTTACAGCAGTCAAGGGGAAAGAGTCAGATTAAAGATTTCAAAATTTAAACTTAAAAACTTAAAACTTAAAAACTAGGCATGCAAAATAAAGTACAAAAATACAAGAAACAGCGATAAATAACAACAACAACAATATTAATAATAATAATAATAATGATAATAATAATGAGAAGTGGATAAAAATGAGCAGCAGTGAATGAAAATGAGCAGTGGATTAAAGAGAGCACATCTAGTGCAAGTGATTGTATGATGGTAAAATAAACATGATTAATATTATAAAAATGACAATGGATAATCACATACTAATTTCTTTTTCTTCTTTATTGAGTTTATTAGAACATACATCTCAAGCACATAGAAATGCGCAACACAAGACAATATAAGGTCCTGAATAACAACATTTACGTTTATATAAACAAAAGAAATACAGTCAGGAGTAAAGTACACTGAATTTAACAACATCGAAAGACATACAGATATTAAGTTTTGACAGCTTTTCTATTCTCACTGTTTGAAATATTGGAGATGCTGTTTTTAATTTCATTAACCAGAGCAGGAAAGAAGGGTTTACTGTTTGAGTAGCTGTATGTTGTGTTTTGTTATGTCATGTCTTAATTTGTAAACTTGAACCCATGATTTGAAAGATTTTTGTTGTGTAATTAATGAAATTCTGAATGAAAGTTTTACAAATGTCTGCTTTGATTCTTTCATAAATTTAATAAATACATTATATAATTATATATAGGTAATAGTATGCATAGTTATAATATTTTTCCATTGTTCAACATAGGCCATTTAGGTAGAAGCATCAAATATATGACAATACAATAGAAAATAAAGAATTTTGTTTTACTTTTTGTAGTTCTTTGATAATAGGCTACAGTATTCAGTCCCCGGAGAGCCACGTGACCCCCGCTCATACTACTTCCGGGGCACACGGAAAAACAGCTTAAGGTATGCTGCTGCTGCTGCAGAGATGCATGTAACCCAGACGTTAGCGATGACATAAGGCACATTTTCATACATTAACGTTTCTTCTGAAGGTAAGTGTGCTCATCGTGTGGGTGAATTACTCAAAGTATTGTCGCTTCACCGTAAATTACACAGTTAGCTTACGTTAGCTTAGCTGAGCCACCGCTTTTGGGCTCAGTAGTTTTAGCTAGCTAATGTTTGACTAGCTCCGTTTGTGACCTCAGTCACATAGCATATTTTTATTGAATTCAAACGTTAGTTTTACTCCCGGTAAATAATTTACTGCTCCTGGAAGATATGAGACATCTGTAACGTTATAGTTACACAACTGACAAAGCAACCTGAAGCTGGATGACAGCGCTTAAAGCAGCGTGAGCTAATGTAACTGATGTGGCTAATGTTACTCTGCAGCTCTGTTTTGTTGCTGACAGAATCATGTTGAGACATACAGTTATGTCTGTTATGTTTCTGAAGTAATAACAATGCTCTTCTTGTCGCGGTAAGATGCCACTTGCTGCTGGTTAATAATTTATTTTTTCAATTTTGGTTTGGTCGATGAAATAATAGAAAATAGGGGAAAATCCCAATCAAAATTTCTCAGATGATAATGTCACCAAATGACTTGTTTTCTCTTACAATCAGTGCAAAACTCAAAGACAATAAAGTTCACACTTATGGTTAAAATAAAAAGAAAAAAGTGGCAAATCATCACATTGGACGAACTGAGGGAATGTTTGGCATTTCAACTAAAATAGTGGTCATTATTCTGTTGGTTGACTCTGTTGATCGACTGATGGATTTACAGTTGCAGTTTTACATATCATATGTTTGTTCACGTATCTTTATGCTTGCTGTAAGATTTCATGACCATATTTAATTAACTTCTTTCTGCTAACTTAATTTTCCAGCTTCCTTATTTGGTCCCAGCTGCTGCCTCAGCACATGTATCCTCAGAGAAACATGACAGAGCCACGCAACCCAGGCATGTCCTCTATCCCTCAGACAGCCCCAGTGCACACCGACTCCACTCCTCCGGCTGTAGAGATGGACCCGGTTGAGTACACCCTTAGGAAGCGCCTCCCTCGGAAACTCCCAAAGAGACGTAACGACGTCTATGTCAACATGAAGACTGATTTCCGTGCTCAGTTGGCACGCTGTCAGAAGCTGCTGGAGGGTGGGGGTCACAAGGAGATCTGTGTCCACGGCTTGGGCCTGGCCATCAACAGGGCTATCAACATTGCCCTTCAGCTACAGGCCAGCAGCCAGGGGGCACTGCAGCTGGCAGCCAATACCTCCACAGTTGAGCTCGTGGATGACCTCGAGCCTGAAGATCCTGATGAGGCTGGGGAGCCCATGACGCGTACACGAAACAACTCCGCTATTCATATCAAGGTTTTCTACCCTGACCCTCAGTGACCTGTATAGAGGTATGTCAGGCAGAGGTTCGCCATGAGTCTTCATTGTCTGGTCTGGACTGTGTGTGAGGACACTTATTATGTCAGCAGAAGAGGAGTATATAAATACACTGTATGGAAGTTGGGCCAGAATTACTTGACTAAATATATTAAGCCTTTTGTCATGTGTTTTGTCAGTTGCAAAATGTTGCTGTTGTTCATTTTTCACTTTGCATGTCTTGAAGTAACAGTGGTGTTTGCCAGGTGAATCCTCAGCTGAATACATGTAAACATGGCTGTGCCAAATATTAATCTATCTCTTAATTTAAAGGTCCAAATAAGGGGCTGTCTAAGTGTTTACAGTTTCATGTTAGTCTGTGGTTTTGTTTCTTTTTTTTCCAAAGACAGAAGTAACTATAAAAAATGAGGAATCCTGAGTTCTCATTTCAAGCAGGTGTTGGTGTAGTAAATGTCCACTAGGGGTCAGTAGTCTAAATCTTTTTGAATTTGGTTTCAGATCATTGAACAGCTGGTGGTGTTCATGCTCAATAACATGAATATGTAATGGACAGTTTTCAGGACAGTGTGTTTGATTTCTTGACAAAAAAATAAATAATATAAAAATTAAATTGAATGCCAGTTATTTAAGAGCAGTTTGTGATAGCAGTTTGTATTCAGCATCTGAAGCGCAGAAGCTTGATTGTGAACTCCACGGATCTGAACTAGACCTAGATAATGAATGAAATTGACAGACTTCCCGTTGTTGTGTTTCCATCTATCCTTTCTTTATCCAAGAATAATATTTTGTATTTAAATAGCAAATTATACAGTGACGGGACAAAACAACAGGAAAGAAAACATGTACAAACATCCTTAAAAACATCTTGCACTTGCACAACAAGATTTAAAAATACGGAAAAAACAAGGAAGAACATTTGACCAGTCTGAAAGAAGTGAGCATCCATTTTATAGAAAGCCTCAAGTTCCCAGGACTAACTAATTGCCTGCCTGCCATTTGATGACGAACAATAGCGGGAGGGAAGAGACAGTGTTAACGTCAGATTGTGGAAAACTACTTGCAATTACAGCCTCACAGGATGTTAAGTGTAAAAGCCAAACAGCATTTTTCCGGGCAGACTGGCTATCAGTGTGTGGAGACTGGCTGAGTGTTGGTTAGGCAGCAACGAAAACACAGATAATGACAAAACAGCTTCACAGTTCCCATGTAACCAACCACCTCCTCACTGACCTCTTACTCCGTCATTCACTGTATCTGAACCTCTGAATTGACGTCTCAGTCCTTTGTTCTGTTAGTTGGAAGGAATATGTAATACGTAAATAACAGCTAGTCTGGTACATAGCAGCATGCTTTTTGCAAATGCTGTCAACAAACAGCTTTGTAATTGTGCTCAGTGCGAACTTGGCAGTGAGAGCCCAACAAAAAACTTAAAGATCCAATACTAAAAAATACAAAGAGTGGAGCTTAGAAGTAGAAAATCTGTATAAATAGTAATCACACAACTCTTAAAAATATATAAAAATATTAACTGAAAACAAACCAAGAGAAAAGACTATTGTTCCTGTGAGGCATAGTTGAAAAATGTTAAAGGCTCGTGGGGTGAGGCCTCATTCATTTGCCTTTTTGCAGTGGTATTGGAAATGGATGCCCTGTCGCAACCTCGCAGTCCTCCAATTTCCTGGTGCAATCTATATTTTCTGGGTGTTTCACACCATAGGGGTTAAACTCACTGGAAACATACACACCACTTACAGATTTAAACTTGCAGTCTTAACTCACACACACACAAAAGTCCATCCACACACAAAGTGCAAGAGAGTGCCAGTAGAACAGCGATTGGAGCAGTGCTTCCCACAGGCCTCATTTTGGTCAGTTTGTGCTTCACCATGTCCATGTTTCACATCTTGATTCCAAGGTGCAATCATCTCCTGTCCATCCAAAGCCTCGCTGGGACAGTCCTCTCGTTTCAGCTTCCTCTGCTTATATGAGGATGGCTGTATCTTCCTCTCTTTCCACACTCCACGCTTCCAGCAGCCAGCGTGCAGGTCAACAGTATCAAGTCCCTCATCTTGCCTTCGGGAACACAACTTAGCTTCGCCTGGAGTATAGAGATCAGCTGATCAGCTGACATCTTGCTGACAGGCCTGTGCATCCAAAAGAAGGAGGCGCACTTTGCCGCGCAGGAAGTTGACGTGGACTTGAAGCAAATCTGTTGCAGAGGACACCCTCCATGTTCCCTCAAGAGCCACTGTACTTGCTGGCGGGGTATATTCCTGAAAGACAACACAAAGAAACATGTTGCACGTGTCTTAATTTGTAAAATTGATCTTCTTTCTCAGTGTTTCTTATCCTTTTAATGAAAAATCAAAAGCCTGTGCCACAACATGCTACTACATCAACAGCTGCTACATTTCCCCGCTGTAGGAGTACGAAAAGCTACAGAAATCTGCATCTGATTGACAAGTTTTATGACATTTCCTTTGGCCTGTAAAGTCAGAACTTCAGACATCCACACATTCCCACGCTAGAAATTAGGGCTGTAACCACACGATGATCTGGACGGATTCATCAATTCAAGATAAACAATCTAATATCATCAATGCAGAGTGAAAACCAAAACATACCATCATCTCTAAGATATGCCTTTAATTTGAAACTTCCATGGCATATCTGTGTCATTATTTCCGTCCAAGCACACCTCCTACCCAAAACATTCAAACAGCGCTAGCGGCCTAGCACCAAGCAGACAATGGTAATCACCCAATAAAAATGCAATACGGATATGAACTGGTATTATCTCATATTGATTGCAGGCCGCTTACTTTGTGATATCAGGAAATATCATGTCATTGTCCAAAGAATCAAGCATATCATGATGATACATGTAAGTTACACTCCTAATAGAGATCTTACCTTATCTTGGAAAGAACTCAAAATATTCTTATGTTCATCATGTCTCAGCATCCACAAATTCATGTATAATCTTTCCAGGCATAGTAAGTGTTCTTTTTTTTATTTAATATTTGTCTTGGTTTGCATGTGTAAGAACCCTGTTAACTGTTCTGATGATGAAACTTTTGTTTCAGTGACCCTTGAGCCTGGACACAGGCTGCTCATTCAGTGTTAGTTTGTCCACAAGGCCTCAGCTTGGATCTTATTCATTTTAAAAACTGTGACGCTGCAACTTCAGTAATCTAAGAACAAGCTTGTACAGCAGCTTCAGTCCCCACAGCCTTGTCACAAAAGACTTCCGGATGCACTTCTAGAGAATGTCCCATGACATACCTCAGTTTCTCTGCTACCGGAGTAAACGCTGTTTTTTTCATTATAAGAAATTCAATCTGAGCTCAAGTATGACCACTATATCTTAAATAAAGTCCTCTTAAATATACTGAACAGGCAAGTCTCATTTAAGTGTTTGCTACATGACTACATAAAAAGGTAGGATATTAACTTGTTTATATGTGCATCCACAGAAGTGAGCAGAAAGAATCCAGCAAAATTCTGGAAAATATGGATCTGTGTTGGGCATTGATTAACTGCTCTGCCTTTATTCTGAAGCAACAGAGATTATCAAAATATCTTTCTTCTGCACCTCCTGAACAGAAATCCAAGCATTTGTAAATAATCTGAAGATGCTGTAACTCACCTGGATGTTGAGGCTCCGCAGTACAGCATTGATGCTGAGCAGGTTTCTGATGGAGTTATCTATGTGGCTGTGCAGTGCTGTGTTGGTGACCGAGGTCCGTAGCAAGTTGAGGGCCTGTTGTAAGAGCCATAAACCAGACTGCACCTCCTGGGCTTGCTCCAATCCCTTGCCAAAAAAATAAAGAGGGCAAGAGTTTAAGTGTCTCATTATGGAAGTGATACAGAACAAAGGAAGCACGTAATCAGCTCTCCCACTAGAAATTGCCTAGAGTTCCAGGTCGCAAAAAAAATGACTGATGCACAGAGAGAAACATCTAAAACTAAGCACAAAAAGTAAGGACATTTGTGTTTGGTAGATTTTTTTTTTGTTGTTGTAACAATGCTTTATGGCAATAAATCTTATACCGTTGGAAAGCCTGTTTATTTCACTTTTAAAGGGTGCCACATTTGTAAGGAACATGCATTTGTGGGATGAGCAGCAGAGCTGAGTGTGTGGGTTGCGACCATGAAAAATTTGCCAAATCTTCTCTGCCAATGCCAAACAGTTTTTTTTTGCTGTTGACTCTTGTTTGGCGTTGTTTGGTGGATTGGATGATTGAAGTCTGAAGAAACAAGACACATTGGCAATTTATTAATTTAACAAACAGGAGCCTCAGTGGAAGCAGTGGAAGAACCATACACAGCCACAACAGCCTGGCACCTCCTCCTCACCAGCCTGGTCACACACTGCTGTGAGGTGGCATTCCATTCTTCAACCAGCATTTGTCGCAAGTCAGCCAATGTGGTTGTGTTGGTCACTCTGGCACAAACAGCACGCCCAAGCTGATCCCACAAGTGTTCAATGGGGTTGAGGTCAGGACTGCTGGCAGGCCATTCCATCCTCTTCACTCCCAAATTCTGGAGGTAGTCTCTGATAAACCCCGCTCTGTGGGGGTGAGCGTTGTCATCTTGGAGGATAGAGTTCGGTCCAAGACTGTGGAGATATGGGATTGCCACTGGTTGCAGAATTTCATCTCGATATCTCTCTGCATTGAAATTGCCTCCAATGACGACAAGCCTCATTTTTCTAGTAGGGGAGATGCCGCCCCACACCATCACACTGCCTCCACCAAAAGATGTTACTCTATCAGTGCAGCAATCAGCAAAGCTTTCTCTGCGTCTTCTCCACACTTTGACCCTATTATCCAACTGCCATAGGCAGAATCTGGTCTCATCGCTGAACATAACATTCCTCAACATGTTCAGGTTCCAGTGCATGTGTTGCCAACACTAGCGCAAACAGGCCTGACGGTGAAGGGCGGTCATGGCAGGCCTCCTGGCAGCCCTATGAGACTGGAGACTGGCTGCGTGCAGTCTGTTCTAGATTGTCTGGGCAGAGAGCCGTCGGCCATATTGTCCTGCAAACCTTGACTGCAAATCTGTAGAAGACTGCCTACAGTTCCTAAGTGCTGACAGGATGAGGAAACTGTCTTCTTGGGGTGTAGTCTTCTTGGGACGCCCACTTCGTGGTCCCCATCCTCTGTTATATGAAACTTGGCCTTCAGTTTGCAAATGGTACTAGGGCTCACTCCAAATAATGCTGCAACAATAATGAAGCTCAAAACAAGAGTCAATAGCAACAGCGAAAAAGCTGTTTGGCATTGGCAGAGAAGGTTTGGCAAATTTTTCATGGGCACAACCCACATACAAAGCTCTTCTGCTCATCCCACAAATGCATGTTCCTTTCTAATGTGGCACCATTTAAAAGGGAAAAAAACAGGCTTTCCAACGGTATAAGATTTATTGCCAAGAAGCATTGTTACAACAAAGAAATAATCTACCAAACACAAATTTCCTTACTTTTTGTGCTTAGAAATATAAAAAAAACTATGATTCTAAGAGGATGTTTGTGGTTACAGAATTAACTTCCAAAAGGCATCAAAGTTCTATGAACTTGTAGTGGATACTTACATTTTTCTTCTCCCAGACATCAAAGTCGACTCTGGTTTGGGGAACAGTGACAGACTCGGACAGACTACATCCTTCTCTACATGACTTCTAAGAAAACAGGAAAGGTATCATGTTAGTGTTAAGGGTACTTTTATCCATAAAAAGTCCAGTGCAGGTGTTTCCAGACCACAACAACTCTACGGCAAGCTTCACCTGCTCTTAGATCTGAGTGCATGCATACATTTTCCTCTCACCATAGCGACTTCTGCGTCTCGTGCTTCCTTAATGAAATGGTTCAGGACCCTCAGGTCACAGATTGGCCTAAGTGGGGACAGTAGACCTGGGCGGGTCCACTCCAACAGCATCAACAGCAAGACAAGCAGTCCTGCAAAGATACATAAAGATACAAATGCCATCACTCAAAGGCTGTTGAGCATCAAAACAGAATTAATACAAACTGAATTGTGTTTGCAAGTAGCAAATAAGCAGCAGCTGTATGTGTTTATGTGGACTAAATGTTGTCATGATAACAGACTGACAATTTGATATGAGGGAGCAAAACAGTTCATATCCTTTGCAGAACAGCCACTGCTATGGAAAGTCGCTTCATGTGTCTCACTTATCTGCATGCCTGTCTGTCCAGCTTTAACTATTCTGAGTTTCTTCTTCCTCTGGCATTTTAATTCAACAAGTATTTTAAAGAGTACAGTATCAATACAGAGACTGTGATAACCACACTTGATGGATTTTATTGGGCAGGACTCCTCCGACCAAAATGTCAGCCTTCATTATCCTTTGAGGATTGTGTATCATTTTCAGCCTGGCTGGAACATTATCTTTAATAATATATAATACGGTTTGTTATTACCGCTCAATTCAGACAGAGTGCCTGCTATGTTAAGGTACAGAAATCCAAGAACTGTCAAAGACCACACAAACTTTTTCACACAATTACAGTTTCTTAAGTTGTTGATGGTTTTGTACTCAGACACAAAGATTATGGTCCACACAATAAAGCCAATGAGAAATGTTAATCAATAAGCAAAACAGAGGCAATACTTTCAGATTCATTACACAGGCCAGCTACTGAACCATGTGAGATCATTATATACACACGTGAATATATATCTGGTGACATTTTCCTGCATCTCCTGAAAGGTCTGCCTCCAGGGGTAATAGCATATGATTTTTTTTTTAATCTTTGAATTCACTTGTATACAAATACATAATCCCCAGCACTAATGTCTTATGATCTATTCAGATCCAAAGGTTATCAGATAACCCCAAAAAAATTATGAGAACAAGTTCAATGAGTTGTTCCAATTGATACCAGTATCGGAAATGCCTCCAATACTGACAAAAATGCTGGGTCAGGTATCTGCAAGTATGCAGGTCTATGTACCAATCCAACTTAATTTTTTAAGAAACTTAAACATAGTTTCACACCTGGTAAAAGGGCTTTTCGGAAATCACTTTTTTTGCTGCTCTTAAACAGCAGCCTTTACAGCAAGTTTACAAGCAAGCAGAACTAATTTCTGGTAAATAGCAGAACGTGGGCCTTTAGCAAAATATCAGCAATTTAGCAATATTTTACACTGGATAGAAGAAAGTTCCATGGCATTCATTATCTGTGTGCCTAGCATTCTGAAAACTAAACTGACGCCCACAAAGTGTTTTCAGGTAGCTGTTACCTCAGTTCGTCATGTAATTGAGAAATGGCAGTTAACAGGAACTGTGAAGGTCACACTGAGGTCTAGAAGACCAAGAAAACTTTCCGAGAGAGCTGCTTGTAGGATTGCTAGAAAAACAAATCAAAACCCCTGTCTGACTGCAAAAGACCTGCAGGAAGATTGCACAGACTCTGGAGTGGTGGAGCACGGTTCTATTGTGCAACGACACCAGTACAAATACGATCTTCATGGAAGAGCCATCAAAAGAAAACCTTTCCTGTGCCATCACCACAAAATTTAGTGTCAGAAGTTTGCAAAAGAACATCTGAACAAGCCTGATGCTTTCTGTGAAAAAAGTCCTGTGGACTGATGAAGTTAAAATAGAACTTTCTGGATGCAATAAGCAAAGGTATGTTTGGAGAAAAAAGAGTGCAGAATTTCTTTAAAAGAATATCTCTCCAACTGATAAAAAGGGAGTGGATCAATCATGTTTTGGGCTTGTGTTGCAGCCAGTGGCACGGGAACATTTCGCAGGTAGAGGGAAAAATGGATTCAGGTAAATTCCAGCAAATTCTGGGAGCAAACATCACACCATCTGTGACAAAAAGGCTAAGGATGAAGAGAGGATGGCTTCTACAACAGGACAATGATCCTAGACACACCCCGAAATCCACAATGGACTACCTCAGGAGGGGCATACTGAAGGTTTTGCCATGGCCCTCACAGTCCCCTGACCTAAACATCATTAAAAATCTGTGGATAGACCTCAAAAGAGCAGTGCGTGCAAGATGGCCTAAGAATTTCACAGAGCTAAAAGCCTTTTGCAGGAAGAATGGGTGAAAATCCCCCAAACAAGAAATGAAAGATTCTTACCTGGCTACAAAAGCATTTAGAAGCTGTGAAATTTGCCAAACGAAGTGTTAGCACTGACCATGCAGGGCGCCCAAACTTTTGCTTCATGTCTTTTTCTTTTTTTGTTATTTTGAAAGTGTGATAGATTGAAATTAAAAAGTAATCTTACCTAAAATATCAACAAAACAAAAAGAAATGTCATCTTTAACATCATGCCTTTTGGAAATCACATCTTCAACTTACTGAATGATTCACTGTAAACAAAATTTTGACCAGGGATGCCCAAACTTTTGCATGCTCCTGTATTTGCTCATGTTTTGCAAACAGTTTACCATAAAGTTATGGTACTGGATCAGTACTCCGTATCAGTCGATATGCAAGTTCAGGTGTCAGAGTCAGAATATCAGGAAGGAATCCACTGGAACATCTCGATAAATCAGCTGCTTGGGGATCAGTCTTTCACATTGCAGTTGATATTACATAAAAGACATTTTTGTATATAGGTGTGTTTTGGGTCCGTGTCATGTGAAACCAGCATGATAGCATGATTCAGCATGATTAAGCAGTATCTCATTCATTTGGTTTCATGCTTGCATCTGACACCTACAGTAATTACCCTGTGATATCCTGGATTGTGAACAGAAACCTGCAGATATGATGACAGTGCAGAAATGACTGTAACCTTGTTTAACTCTTATTTAGAACAGAGTAGCCCTAAAATTGGATCAGTATTCAGCCTTCTTGAGGAATTTAGATGTTACTTCTGAGAAACTTCTAACATCCATGGAGAGTGCAGCACACTCTGAACACTGGGTAAATACTTAGAAATCAGAGTGGTTGTACTGTTGTGGGTCATGTGGGCATCCAGACTCCTTGCTCTGTGCCACATACTGAATGCACTCTTTCACAGCAGTCTGCGTGTGTGACGCAGAAGGATAACTGAAAATACAGATGATCTTTTCCAAGTAGAAAGGTCAGATACAGGCTAGATTAAGTTCCCAGACACCCAGATAACTAGCATAAAGTAAGATGAATGGAAAGAGAGATTACACTAATATGGTAGATTTGCTACCACCTTAGGATAATAAGAAATACAATACAATACCATTACTAGAAGTACACTAGCTGCAGCCCTTTAAGAGGTCAATGGCATCAGCTTAACCTCCATGCCCCGTTTTCTTTAACGTCATGGAGCAGACTGTTGATGGCACATAGGATCAGTATGTGTTTATAACTTCACATCTGACGCACACCAACCAGGTCTCACCGAAAACCATCTTTAAACTGTATGTACATGGTAATAGTTATGCACAGTGTCCCATACCTTCACAGTGTCTATTTTGAGCATGAGTAACAATATTGCAGCCTCTGTTTCCCCCTGAGTACACGTTTATAATTCCTGCAGGCCTGCAATCTAGTAAATAGGAATGCACAGGCAGATACATGCACATAAATAGGGGCTGTTAGGTGTTTAACAGTCACTGGTACTTAAGGACATGTATTTTCAAGAAGTCAGTCATAATGAAAACTAACTGTGAGCATCACAGGAAATGAATACTGAATGGGACTAATTACAAAGCATTTCACACAGGAAATAAATCCTACTACACTGAGCCTGTTTTCATCCAGTTGTTTATTACATGGCTGCTCCACTTTACTTAGACACAGATAAGTTTACTATTATACTTTCGTAAATTTGCCCACTTTAAAGTAAATCACAAACTTTAAATCTTGGTGCATATGGTCTTTTCCAGACCTCCTACGATACGTTTATACAAGCCCTGGAGGTCTTTCCACATCTTTCCACAAGAGCAAAACTTCAGATCAACAATGTGGTCGTAAGTGTACTTATGTACCGGACACACTTAAATAATCCTTCACATATACCAATTTATATAGCAGTTTCAGATTCAAAATGATGTCTGCACAGACAACTAATGGCCTCCTTTCCATTCACTCTGACATTTTGTAATTTTCCAAAACGAGGCCACTTTAAATACCTTTAAATAAGTGTGTGTGACTCAGCTTGAGGATTATCGCTGACATTTTCACCTCCACCACTGCCTACGTGAGAATGCATCAATCTAAACACATACACACTCGCTCTCTCTCTCTCTCCCCCACTGCATTCTGGTGGAATTTAAAGTCCAGGACTGTGGCCAAACTAAAAGTTAACACCTTTGTCTGCCATCATCAGCTGCCAAAACCATGTTGCTATTTTAAATTGGCAGCAGTAGTCCTCAAGTGGAGGTGCTTTAGATAATGGCAAGCTTCACTGCAGGTATGTGACAGATGCTTTGGAAAGATGGCCGGATGCTCACGTGAGCTGATGCCTTTGACATGTGCTGTTTAAACAGATTCGGGTCAAACAGGTGCACAGACAGAGCTCAGCGATCTAAAACTAACTAGTTGATATGGTAGTAATGGTCAAATGTCACAGAGGGCTGATACGGAGATACTATTTAAAGTACACCTCAGGTATGGGATGGTTTCTTTTGAACGCTTTGCGACCTCCTTTCTATTTTGAAGGGGTCTTCCCCATGACAAAGCGCAGAGTTGTTAATAAGTAGCTATCAGATGACACAGGTGTGACATAATTTCCTGTCAAGCTTTGCTGGAATCCCTTATAGCCGTAAGCCTTTGATAACCCTTGCGCTTTTCTGCTGACATAAGTATGTGACAACTGTACTAAAAGGTGCAGAATCAGCTTTCACATTCAGTGCCCTTAATGTTTCAGTATGCTGTGTCATGCTAGAGAAGGATGACTGAGGATGTGTTTTCCCAGTGAACAAGACAGAAAAAGAAACTGGTTGTCAATAGTCAGCAACTCCATGGGAGAATGTGTCATCATCAGTGGCTTACAGTAACAAGAAACAGTGGGAATCAATCCCCTAACTCCAACAGATTTAGTGCCTTGCTCAACTCTGTAGGTTCAGCACCAACATGATGCCTTGCATCAGCAGCTTCAGAGAGATTGTGCCCATTATTGGGTTTGTCCAATGTTCATCACCTGACAGTAAATTGGCTTTATTTGGAAGTGAACTTCTATATCTTAAATTAGGCTACTTACTGCTATTGAGAGGATTATAGTCAAGCAGTATAGTGTACAGCAGCTTTCTAGGAAATAACATTACACCATCTATTCCCATGAACTGTGGTGAATAAATACTACAAACCTGAAACATGCAGAAATAGTTTTTATAGCATGTATGTATGTTCTATTTTGGCAAAAATAGGATCATAAATTTTCGGAAAACAGGCATTTCAAAAAGAAAAAGACATCCAGAGAGGCTTTAAATAATGTCAAGATTCATCATTCACTCACAGACACATAGGGCATGTGTATACTGAATAGCTGCGCACTATGTCCATATATCAGTAACGTGTTAAACGTTCTAAAATAGTGGGCATATAGACTGATACTGCACACAGGCAACGCACACAAAGTTAGGCACAAGACGAGATAATATTACAGGTGCTCTTACCTCTACCTCTTTTCTGCAACATTCGCAAACAGGTGCCGCATCTTTTAAAAACATTGTGTGTTTAAACATACGAAGAAGCTTTACGGCTCAAGTTAAAGGCGCGGGTCAAATCCAACAAGTCCAACATACAACCAAGTGCGCGGCTCCCAGCGCTAGTCCGACCGGCGTGTGGGTCCGCGTCAAAAACATGTGTGCTGCTGGTGAGAGCTGTCACCTAACAGACCTTGCATCACTGCTGTGCTTTGGCAAAACCTTTTATTTACCTCCCCTAAGGATATAGCGATAACGTGATAGCCCGCAAGGACGAGGACGCGCCTTTTTACGCACCACGGTGAGCGATAAAACACCCCATGCATGCAGTCCCCCTTTGCGTAAAGCGTGAAAATAGACTAACTAGTAAAGCCGGTGTACAGAGAAAATAAATCATGTCCATAACTCACTGGGAAACTCCATAGCGGTATCCGCATAGCCCCTCACAGGGTCCTCGTGGTTTGGCCCATAAGTCCGTCTATTGCCCATTAATTGGAAACGAAGCTCTTTTGTGGATCTCCTGCACTTATCCGGTAGGTGTTTCTAAAAACTGATGCTGTTTGATTTTTTATTGATGACTTTGAAAATAAAGTTGCATTGTTTCTATGACAATCTAATCTGCCCCCTCCCTTAAGACAAAAAATAGTTTTCTTTCATTGTTATCCAAATAATAGGCTATCCCTGTTTAGCCTAATAAGTAAATAATGTCTAAAAAAAAAAAAAGACGCGCGGAGACTTCCCATCCATTGTTCGGATGATTTTTAGAAACACTCATTACAGTAGTATATTTTCAAAAACACTGATGTAAATATTGAAAAAACTATCAAAAGACCTGTTTAACCACAATTACCTAAAGCTAAATGATTGCGTTTTTAATATAGGACTGTCAGTGGTATCTGTCATATGCCAGGACACATCCCGTGACCACGGTGGCAAAATGATGCCACACTGAAATCAAGGTTTGACATTACTAAAAACGTTTTCAGCAATGTGGAATTTGACTTTATTTGTATGATTGTATAATTGATGTTGCAGCAGAGTATAGAGTATATATTTAGTATCATGTAAATGCTTCGCACAGGTACCAACCCCCACCCGTGACACACATCCCTCACCTGCAGGTCTTTACCCAGGCGTTCATGCGTTTAAAGGTCATTGGAGGGTTTTTTCCCCCTTTTTTTTAGGGCAAGATTGATTGGTTGAAAGCACGTGCTTTTATACAGTTGATTTGCCTGTGTGTTGTAATTTATGAAAAACTATATTTAACAACACAGATTTGTTGACAAGCTTGTTTAACTCACGCGCATATTTCAGATAATGATGAAGGAATGGGGGATGCAACAGGGCCGTAATCACCTATTCAACACTGGGGGGGACCATTTACAATCAACATCTTCTTTGACCCAGCTGTCCAGGGGGGTCTGACGGCAACAGCCCCAGATCAAAGTGTTAGAAACTTGACAGCTAAATGATCACTTTGGAGCATTTTGAAACAAAAATCTTAGATCAGGGGTTCTCAAAGTTATGATGACTGAGTGCAATTTTAGGAGCCAGCATATGATTATGAGCACCACAAGAAAATTGCAAAAACTATACGGTAATACTAGAACCAATAGTAATGATTAAAGCAAATTTATGATTATGATTGCATTTTTTATTTAAGCAGCGGTGCATGGTTGCCTTCTGTAGCACAGCATTTTATTTCTATTTTTTGTTTATCTCCTGGGAGGATGGCACCAATTTGGGCATATCTGAATATTGAAGGGGATGTGTTCCCCAATATAAAAACTAAGCACAAAAAGTAAGGAAATTTGTGTTTGGTAGATTATTTCTTTGTTGTAAAAATGCTCCTTGGCAATAAATCTTTTACCGTTGGAAAGCCTATTTATTTCTCTTTTAAATGGTGTCACATTTGTAAGGAACATGCATTTGTGGGATGAGCAGCTGAGCTGAGTATGTAGGTTGTGCCCATGAAAAATTTGCCAAATCTGTTGACTTTTGTTTGGCGTTGTTTGGTGGATTGGATGATTGCAGTCTGAAGAAACAACATATTGGCAATTTAACAATTTATTCATTGAACAAACAGGAGCCTCAGTAGCGTGTGGAAGAATCATACACAGCCACATCAGCCTGGCACCTCCTCCTCATGCTGGTCACCAGCCTGGTCACACACTGCTGTGGGGTGGCATTCCATTCTTCAACCAGAATTTGTCGCAAGTCAGCCAACATGGTTGTGTTGGTCACTCTGGCACAAACAGCACGCCCAAGCTGATCCCACAAGTGTTCAATGGGGTTGAGGTCAGGACTGCTGGCAGGCCATTCCATCCTCTTCACTCCCAAATTCTGGAGGTAGTCTCCCACTCTGTGGGGGTGAGCGTCGTCATCTTGGAGGGTAGAGTTCGGTCCAAGACTGTGGAGATATGGGATTGCCACTGGCTGCAGCATTTCATCTCGGTATCTCTCTGCATTGAAATTGCCTCCAATGATGACAAGCCTCATTTTTCTAGTAAGGGAGATGCCGCCCCACACCATCACACTGCCTCCACCAAAAGATGTTACTCTATCGGTGCAGCAATCAGCAAGGCATTCTCCGCGTCTTTGACCCTACGATCCAACTGCCGTAGGCAGAATTTGGACTCATGGCTGAACATAACATTCCTCAACATGTTCAGGTTCCAGTGCATGTGTTGCCAACACTAGCGCAAACAGGCCTGATGGTGAAAGGCGGTCATGGCATGCATCCTGGCAGCCCTATGAGACCAGAGGTTGGCTGCGTGCAGTCTGTTCCGGAATGTCTGGGCAGAGAGCTGTCAGCCATATCATTCTGCAAACCTTGACTGCAAATCTGTAGAAGACTGCCTACGGTTCTTAAGTGCTGACAGGATGAGGAAACTGTCTTCTTGGGGTACCGTCTTCTTGGGATGCCCACTTCACAGCCCCCATCCCCCGTTATATGAAACTTGGCCTTCAGTTTGCAGATGGCACTACGGCTCACTCCAAATAATGCCACAACTTGGTTTTGCGGAACACCAGCTTGAAGTTGCCCTATCGCACATGCCTTAAGTCCAATCCTGAGTAGTCATCCAGTCTTAAAGTTCTTATTTGGAAGGCAAAGTCAGTGAGTGATTCAAGATTAACTTTATTGTCCCACAGAGTGGGAAATTTGTCTTGGGCCCTACTGTCATAGAATTACAACATACAACATAGTACATAGACAAATCAACATTATACTCAACATCGCAAGAGGAAACACAAAAAGATAAATAAAATAATAACATCATATGCTAAAAATACCTCTATAAAAATGCAAATAATCATAATCCGATGCCAGATCTGGGTTTATCTGCCATTATTTAAAAGCTTTACAGACAAAGGTATGAATGAATAGGAGATCGGAGAGTACTCTTAGATGTGCTTGACTGCTTGATTGCCTGCACCTTGTTAAGACTGCATCCAGCTCCAGCAGGAGGGGGCAGAGACAGTTTGTGCCTGATTAGCCAGTGGTGTTTCATGTGTGAAGTACCAGAGGTTCCTTGTGTGCATTTAGCTCATATTAAGTACATTACAGGATTATTTTGGTTATGTGGGGACAGCATGTGCTTTGAATTCGCAGTCGACTTGGATGTTATGGGACCTGCGGCAATGCTGCTGCTGGTATATGTTACATTGGTTCCATTTTTAACCTTTGTGTGTTTTAAGGATGTCTTTGTAAAGTAGTGGAGTAGACTTCAATGTGTAGTTGGCTACTGCAGTTAATATGTAGCTGGCTGGATTTCACTCAAATAACAGGTGCATTATGATCTTTTTATAGTTTCTAAATTTCCAGCTCGACACATCTGACCACCTGAGCCTAGCCAGGCATTCCCTTTCAATACCACTTGTACAGCAGTATCACCTCCTTCCGGACATCCTCCTACAACCAATCAACAAAGCATACACAACGCTTCTTTTTGAAGCAGATTACCTCTATTTAAACACTACAGTAGAGCCAGCCCATGTCCGCCTGCCCAGAGGCCCAGCAGTGATTAATACCACATTAGGCTGGACACTCCAAAGACCAGCATGAGTCCTACAGGAACAGCTTGAAGTGCCTCAATATCTCCCTGACGCCTCCGAAGGGGGAGCTGTATGGAAACAGGGAAAATGAGAATCCGGTGACAGGCTCCCAACTGGCCCAGAATGCCATGGACCTGCTGCATGCCAATGCCAATAATTACCTCCACAGTGTACCATCATCTAACCAAAAACATGCAGGATAAACTGAGATAGCTGCTAACAACTGATGGCTTTGAAATCAGACTGTGGACCTCCAACAACCCAACCATAATGGAACACCTGCCAAATGAAACCCATTCAGACAGCACAGGAATCTGGCTATCTTAAGACTTAACTGAAGTAGCTGAATCAACTCTTGGCTTTAAATGGGGCTGTCTATCTGACATACTTGGGTACAAACCCCATCCAGTGAAGCAGGCAGCCCCCACAATGCACCACATTTACAAAGTGTTGGCGAGCCAATATGACCCCTTGGGATTCATCCTCCCTTTCATTACCTGGATTAAAATGATCATACAAAGTGGGAGGGATATGAGGGAAAAAAAGGTTAACTAATTAATTGCAAAAATGCAATGCAATTGTATTGTATTGTACAATTAATTATAATTAATTCAAATTCTCCCCAACACTTCTTGTGAAATCCAACTTCCTGTAGAAAAAAAATTTCAGTGAATTTGATATAACAAACTGACACTGACCCTGAACCCGAGTAGCAATGAGTTATCTGGGCTATCATTAAGACAAAGTATATGCTACAGGAATATGAAGGCTACTTTAATGAATATGTTCTTTTACAGCACAAGTGTTGGAATTTATTTATGGTGGCATTCTATGCCAATACTTTTCTCTCAATAAGGTGTCTCTGTGATACAATGAAACAAAAGGACAAACCAAGGGCAAACGCAGGAGCCAGCATGGCATTACTGACTCAGTGCACAATATTGCTTTTTATTAGACTTACGGGTGTTGTTGGAAATCTTTTATAAAAGTTAACAATAAAATGTAACCTAAATAATGTAAATATGTTATATAAATATCCAATTAACTATTCATCAGTTCAGTGCGGATGTGATATCATAGGGCAATTGTATTCTCTGAACTTCAAGCAGGCATGTTTATGTCTCTCCTTCTCACCCTGACCTCTTACAGCCCCTTTGGAGCCAGAGTAAAGGAAATAAATTGAAATTTCCTGAAAGTCCCTTCTGTGTGTCATAGAGGAGGGGGTGTTCTCCAGGGGCTACAAGAGGCTTTCCCATCAGACAGGAAGTGAAGGTATGTTTGCATATGCATTATCAGGAGCAAACATGCAATGTCAAGTGACACACAAATACTTGGAAATACTGATGAAACTTACCAGGCTTACACGTTTGCATGTTTACTGTTTCATAAGCCTATGCATGGTGCATGTACAGCACGCACACATGCATGTTACCACAAGTGCACTCTTAAATAAAATGATGAGGGTAAAATATAGGCAATTACAGAAAATATTAACATTACATATAACTTTTTACCTTATTTTGCTATTCAAAATGCCAACAATGTGATGCCCTAGGTAAAGAGCTAATGTGCATTTAATATAAATAGTTTTCAGGTATTTAAATACCTATACTTACATTCTGCTCATAAGTGACAGACATTCTTTTATAAGTTTACATATTACTCCTGATATGAGTCAGCTTTAATACTACATGGTCACCGTTGTGCTAAGCTGGGGACAATGTTGACATATTGTTGCACTGTTTGCTCAAAGGGCTGTTTGCTTATGTCTGTGTGAGAGAGAGAGAGGAGAGGGAGACAAGGTACGTGCTGTGAGCCATGCTTCATGGCCAGGACAGGGGATTGGGGTGGGAGGTGAGGGATGTGTGGGGAGTGCGGGGGCAGGGGAGTCCAGTCAGAATGACTCCTTGTCGGGAATGGGACACATTTATTGAATTTCTGATGATTTAGAAGAGGAGGGGATGTAAAGTTGGGGATGAACCCAAATGCTCTTTCCCTGACGGGGATGCAAACAACCTAAGGAGATTTTATCGTACTATGTAGAAGGTAGTGAAAGTGCACAGCTGTTACATTGGAGTGTGTTTATGTGTGTGTATGTGTGTGTTTGTGTGTTTTTCACTTTCTCATCCAGGTTTTGGGCTCGCAGCCAGCTGAGTCTACTCCTCTGGCGCGACACAAGACAGGAAGCTGACATAAAAGAATGGAGGGGACTGTCTGTGAGGGACACAGGAGCCAAGGCAGGAGTCAAGACAGAAGCCACCGACGAGGTCGGAAGTTATTGTTTCAGCTTACAGGCATCCACGGTGACAAGAGTCTTATCCCTCTATCGCACAAATTGTGATCCCATGGTGATGGCCCCAAGTGTGGAAAACATTCCAGGATAGGAACCTCATCACTGGAGTTTCTCCCTGCCCAAATGCTGTCATTTGGCCCACAAGTAAAGCATTTAACACCCTAAATACTCCAGTGGAACACTTGCTGGCCAATAACACAACACTGCAGTTGTGAAAAAGAAGGCGACAGGTGTATAACTTTTTAGACCAACCCTATTGCAACTATTCCTGAAGAATGTGATGAGATGTGTTTCAACTTCCCTCGCTAAAATGGGCTAACATGACTAAGGGTCTTCTCCAGTGCACACACTTGCCCTCTTGAGCACTGAAAGGCATGACCTTGTGCTGTCAGGTAGTAGGCAAGTGTGTCAGGACAACTCTAAAGTCCCTTTCCCACCATACAAAAAACCCCACAAACACCCTTTACCATCTGACGCAAGCAGCAGACATAGGGCATAGAGCGACACTATTCAATCAATAGTAATTCTTTGTCCAAACTCTGGTCCTCAAGACCTAGGGTACTGTTCTCTGCTCAGCCAAATGTTTCATGATTGATCTAGTATCTTATCTAAATTAGTCCCTATTCGACAGGTAGAATACAATCAGCAGAGTGCACAATTGGGAAAATTGGAAACCACTGCTTGGTAACTTTTCTCTGATTTCTTACTTTAAAGCACTCACCACATTGCTTCCACTCAACATCCATGCACTTCTGATTAAATTACAGTGTATTGCTCTGGAACCATACCTGTCATAAATACTGTATTATTTAACCCTCTGACATTGACATAGTCACATTCTGTCTCTAACCATTCTCCCTCTTTTTTCATCTTTGCTACCCAAGAATATGTCCCTTATGTGTTCAGATATTTCCCTACTCTCCTGATAGAGCAATTCTTTAGCTCTATCATCAGACTTTTTTTTTCTATCTGGTATTCTCCCTGTTGCCAAGCTGACTTGGGTGGTATTATTTCTGTCCTAGCTGCCCCTAGCCTCACACCTTCTGTTATCCAACAGGCCTCTAATCACTTGTCATTTCCACTTCACACTCTACTCCCCTCTTTTGGCTGTCCTGTCTGCTATTCCCCTGACTCGCTGGCCCTGCATGCCTTTTACTACTTCAGAATGCAGGTTTTACATTCCAATTCAACCTTTCACCCCCATTTGTATTTTGTATTATGTGGGTGTGAGCATTTAGCACAAAGAATGTCTACTTAGATATACACACATTAATTCCGACTTTCCCTTAGTTTGACTGGCTGGGTTATTTACACCTCCTGTCAACATAAGCTTGACAGACAATAGGACAATTGTCTAACATTAAGTGATAATCTGATTACTCCAGAAATTTACAGCCAACACTAAAGCATTATTCTGGCCTTTGTGCCTTGCTCTTACTCGCCTTTCTTCATTTGCACCAAAATAAAACAATAAATACTGTATATTCAATTGCAACCATGTTTCTTTTGCATCCAACTAAAATTTCATTTGGTTTCTTATCTAAACCTCCTCGTTATTTTCTCTCTCTATCTTTATCAGCTCCACACAACTGCTGGGCTGCACTGTGAAAGAACAAAGACCTCCCATTAGGTAGTTATCTCTCACTGTATTAATCCCTGAGTGTGCACACACTCATTTAGCCAGTGCATTTGATTCTAATAAAACTGATGGCCATTGTTGACAATGGAGACGCACAGATGGTGCACTCAAAAGCAAAAGCGAAGCCGTCACAGCACACAAGTGTTCTCAACTGCTGTAGCTGGTAGGCTACACAAAGTTGAACCTTTGGAGGGCAGCAGCATGTACAGAATGTCATGTGATGAGGAGCAACCAATCACAACATTTTTCCTTTCTTCCGTAAATATCAGTCTACGGTAACTATGAAGGAGAAGCTCATAGTCTTAGTGCAGAGCTACCCAGAGCTGCCCGCCCTGTCCAGCACCATGAATATATTAATAGCTTACACACTTAAGAAGAATAACGACTGGAGCAACTTGCCAAGTAGGTTATGGTTGCTTAGCAACATCAGGCGCAACCTGCCTCTGCTCCCCTTGAAAGTTGGCACACAAGCAGCACCTAGCACCCGACCTTGCAGTGATCCCAGTACCAGAAAAGCAATATGCTGGGGCCAGGTGGCTGCCATGTGAGACTCATGGCAATGATTGGGACAACGTAAGCATCACGTGTAAGAGGACACGCTGTCTCCTAAAAATTAAGACTAATTTGTTTTGCAAAATACATTAAGAAGAAAACAGAATTGCCACCTTGGATTGTGCTTTACGGCGGTGTTTTTCTAAGCAAAGGAAGAACTACAACGTTCTGCACATAAGTCGTATAGAAATGGTTTATTGGATGGTAGGCACCCAAAAACCTGAGACAGAGGTTCACATCCACCATGGGTGCCTCATGTTGTTAGATTTAGGCAACAAAAGCAGGTTGGTTAAGGTCATGAAAAGATCCTGGTTTTGGTTAAATGTTAATAAAGTAAACACTGCATGTCTTGTGGTTCAAGTGTTACAGTCTGTCTCCAGGTTCTTTCATTGCCATTTTGCATCCATCCACCAGGTGCCCTCGGACTATCCCTTCTTTCCCCATCACCTGACTGCCCCATCCATCTACACACCTGTTTCCACTTGCCTAATCTGCTCTGCAGTCACCTGAGCTAAGCTGCAGCTCATTCCCTCATCACTCGCTATAAATACTAGTCAAGATGTTTAGTTTGCTTTCAGTTTATCAAAGTTGCAATTGGATTTTCTGTCAATGATTAAAGCTTTTGTACCGGACCTACTGCCTAATTTGGACGTTTTGCCTGCTCCCTGCCTGGTCAGGTCTACCTTCCTTTGTTTGCTTGCTTGTAAGCCTGTATATACTTACTTTGGCAATAAATTACTGAACTGATGCTACCTGCCTGCTTAGTCTGTTTGGGTCACAGTGCTGTGGGTGCCTAAACTTGGCCATAAAAATGTTAATCATGCTTTAGCTGCTATATATGGATATTGTATTGCAAGACAGGATTTTATAGGGAAAACTAATGAAATACCTTGTCAGTTAATGTTTTGCAGATACATTTAGAACACATCTGTTGATAAAGTAGTAGTCGGTGGCCTTTTCTGAACCCCCCCAAAATGGTGATAAACCCAGGGTTATTCTGGACTACTGCACTAGAGTTTGCAAACCATTCTGACCCTATGTTGGTAAAAGTCAGAGCTGTGTTTGCATCCTAAGCATTAAATCAACCAGCCAAAATCTGAAGTTTCCAGCTCAGTGATGTTAAAATGGCATGTATGTTGATTCCATCCTTGTAGCACTGTCATGGCATTATATCTTGCACACTGGAGCAGTTTGTGAAGGATGGTAAACCAGCTAAGGCCATTAGCAAAGGTGGCTTGTGGCATTAATAATCCACTGCAACAATCTAGGAGGGACTTTAGTGTTGTAATGTTTCCCTTTCTGTGCTGAGAGACTCCAACTAAGGGAGACATCAAACAAAACATTATCTGATGTGCCATGCCAAGACCAACACTTGCATCACACATGCTGGAGTAACACATTAGTCAAAACATTTGATACAACAACACGGGAGAGCACTAACGACATATCTGGGTAAAAGGGGTAACTAATGTCATTCAATGCCTTTTTAAATATGATTAAAGGGTTTATTCATAACCATATCCATTGGTCACTCATGGGAGGCACAGCTGCCAGAATACTATAAAACTGAATATGGCTGGCTGAAGCTAACATTGGCATACCTGGTTTTATCTGCATGAGGAACTCTGTGCCAGGCCTTTCAGATTATAACCAACACTTTAAACTGGATGCACACAATTAATCTAAAATGGTTCCAAAACTCAATTTGAAATGTGATGAATAGCCTTATTTTATATGCAATATATTACATTTTTTTGAGTGCTGAGCATCAAAAACCTTGATTAAAAAAATAAACATAAAATAAAAAGTCACTGATGTCTAAAACAGATCAATTTCATGCTGGATCAAATATATCAGATAACTAATATCACAGTAAAACAGAACAAATGCATCCTAAAGTCCTCCTTTTTTGCCATTTCTAAATGTAACGAGTCACATATCTGTTCAAACCAGAGGCTTGCAGTACAGCACTACACGACTAAGCACAACAAAACAGAAGTTGATGTTAACTGCTCACTTTCAGCTATTCCATTCACAAAATTCTTTACTTATCTGTGGAGCATTCTAAATAAAACTCATTTTGGTCAAGAGATAGGTCAGCATATTCTAGGTCTTGAAAAGATCCTCTTTAAAATGGAATTATTAATTACATTAACACAGATGCTTATTTTCAGATCGAGAGGTATGTAGTCCTGATGTCATGGAATAAGACACCGCCTCATGAAATCTACCAGGTTTCCCATTTGGTCGGTCTCATTTCCTCTCACGGGACCAGACAAGTGTTTCTATTGCAGGCAGGGGATGTAAAGCACATACAGTGCATTGCCGCGTAGCTGTCCCATTCTTACTCAAATGTCTGTTTATACTAGTGCGCTTGTTGGCTCCGAGATATTTTAGGTCCCATTGTAGTTTGTTGTTCCTCATGGGTTTGTTTTTGTGGCTATCAATTTTGCATCACTGAGTGAAAAACTGCCCATTCTTCAGTCATAATGAAAATACCTGGTCTGTCTCAGATGAGACACACTTATGAACAGGATTTCTGTCATCTCGAAGACATTTAAAGTATTGAGTCAACTAAACAAAAATAGACAAAAGCCCTGACTGAACATGTACATCATTTACAAATTCATCTTTGTGGTATTATGTACAAAAAAAAAACAAAAACAAAAAAAAAAACCTTGAAAACTGGTCAGTGTAGTGGTGTTTGTTCCTCCCAGGGTCAGGTACGACTTCCTCAAAGTATGCATGACTGACTAGATTGACAGAGAGAAAAATAATTCTCCAACTTACATACATGTATTTGAGTTTAATACTCCATCTGCATTATGGCAGACTCATGTCTTCTGCCAACATTTTCTGTCTGTAGTCAACAGTGGTGTATGGAGGAGCTTTTGTGATGGCTATTGTAAATTACTACAGCAGCAGGTCTCCAGGGTTCAAAGTAATCAAAAAATAAATCCAACATGTAGGAGCTTTAAATGAGTTTTGTAGGTGCCTCCAAGTATAAATCAATAGAGCCAAGAAAAAGCATCCAAATTTCATGACTCATAAGAAAAAACAATATGTGATGGATTCTTTATTGTTTGTGTTCCCTAACCCCCTTGAGCTTGGTCTCAACAGTCCCTGTACCCACCTAACTGTAAAGTTGGAAAACAGGTCTTTAGTGATTGATTGACAGACGGCCTGTCCAATGGGAGCGTGGCAGGGTGAGAAGTGGTCCAACTGAGGTGTCCGCCTTGTGATTCTTTTCTGTCAAAAATACACATACAACTGGCTTAGTGACCAGGTCATTGTATCGTAATAACCTTCCATATTGTGTAAGTTGCATTTATTTGTAAAGGGCTGAGCAACCTGTATGTGCTTGAGTTGTTTGTCCACTATTTTCCTCTCCAGTCTCTCTAAAGCAGTCATCAGAGTCGCAGCATCCACACAGAGCATTGTCTCCCTCTGTGGCACGCCAGCTGAACGACAGACAAAAAATACATTTGACATCAGTGGATGTTATGAACTGAAACTGAAAATCACATATTTACAACTGAAGTTCACCAACAGTTTGGGAGCCTGACCTGAATGTGGGTCTATGGAAGAAGCAGGCTTTATCGAGGTGGCTGTGTGAGTTTTGCTTCAGAGTGGCCCTGATGTTGCAGCTGATGAACATCTGGAAGAAGAAAGCTGAATTCATAAAGTCCATCTGATCCAAGATTCATTTCAACAATATCATAAGTATCTTCATCAGTTAAGAATGCATATGTGGAATGCTTGACAAACTAAACCCTGTAGATGCAACAGGAGTACTGATAAAATAATCATAATAAATTACACAAATAGCATCTGTTATGCTAAAATTATGACTCCTTTGACAGTAGCATTCAGAAAGTAATGAAGCAGCTGTCCAATGAGGCGTTACCTGTTCCCCAAACTCCTGATTGAAGTGGAAGGCTTGAACACTGAAGCATAGCCTGTTATTTTGCTCCCTAGGGAGGAATTTAGACGAAGACATCGGCAATACACTGTCCATAAGACATCTGTAATGGAGGAACAACACATGTTGAAATTATCCCATGAGCAGCATCAAATTTAGACAGTGTGTCAAACCTCCAGTCAGATAAATGTCAAAAGATGCCCAGAATTGGCTGTAAGTATTCATATAATTGCATTAATCTTACATTTAATTCTTGGATTGATTTTTTGATTTTTAGTCAGAAGGAAAGGCTGACCCATGCTTGGTGATAAACTTGTAACTTGGCAGGGAGAGGGGGTCAGGCTTCAGCGTAGCAACACAGTAATCCACATACAGAGTGAGAGGAGGGTGTCGCGGGGCCTCCACGCTGGCCTCCAGAAACACTGCTTCCCCCTGCTGATACACTGAGGAACTACGTGGAGAGGTGCAGTCATCTGCATATGAGGAAACAAGCATTTCTTTTCAGTCCCAGTTTCACAGATTCCATATAGAAACAAAATAACCACATATTACTGTTGTTAGATCAATATTCCATTGATACAGTCTAAATTTAATGAGATGGTGGTTTCACCTGCCATGGTACGAAGAGAGAAGTGCAGAAGACCAGAGGCAATGATGGTGGATGTCATTGGTAGCCATGTTGGGGTTAATGGTTCTCCATTCACAGTCTGCTTTCTGTGCTTCCACAAAGATAAGATAAGATGAGGATGAGTCCTTACTGATCCTTAGAGGGGGAACTCAGGTGTTGCAGCAGCACAAGGAAAGAAAGTAGTACAGATAAATAGGGAAGTAAAAAAAGAGAGATATAAAAACAGATAATAGAAATAACAACAGATAAGAGGTATGTGCAACTAAGAACAGAAGTAAAAATATAAACATTTAAGAAAGTAACAGTACACCAGAATAATATCTTAAGTAGGGCTGCAAGGATTAGTCGACTAATCGATGACTAATCAACTATTAAAATAATCGGTGACTATTTTAGTAGTCGACTAATCGTCATTTCATAGAAAAGTACTATAAAAGTATCCCAAAATACTCTTACTGCAGCTTCTTACATTCAAATATTGGCAGCTTTACACACTCTCCCATGACGGTGAACTAAAACCCTTTGGCATGAGTACCAAACAAGACATTAGATGACATCATTTTGGGGTTTAGGAGAGACAGACCGACATTTTTCAACATTTTAACACATTTTTGGATGAAATGATTAGTCGACTAATCGAAGAAATAATCGACAGATTAGTCAACAATGAAAATAATCGTTAGTTGCAGCCCTAATCTTAAGGCACTGGTTATACAGGTAAGTGCTGATGACAGCTCACTGAAACTCTTGGCTTTGGTGTAGGTGTAGATTGATGCTGAAAAGGCACAAATTGGTGCATACCCCCGTTTCATAGGCTGATGCAGCACTATAAGAAAGCTCTACCAAGGAAATGTACACTCAGGAAGTGCACACAAGAATTCCTACAATAACATGGACTCTGCCTTACCTCCTATAATGGCACTCCACAGGTATGACAGCGGGTACCCCTCTAACTATCACGCTGCCAGAGGGGGTGGGAACCACAGCAGGAAATAGTACTAGTTGGTTGGAATACACAAGCCATTCCTCATGAACCTGGATAGTAGCAAAGAAACCATACATTTAAAAAAAACTGCACTCTATTTTAAATATTTAACTTTTATTGTCTGACAGGGTTTTTAATAGAGTGTGTTGCTCTCTCTAAACAAGTGAAATTATCTGAACTGTCTAACTTTCCCTCTGTAACCTCTTATGTTGCCCCCCTTCTCTCACCCTGGCCTCAGTGCCACAGTCCTGCAGCCCTGCAGAGATGACCATTTCTGAGTCAGACAGCGGCCCCTTCGCACCGCAGGACCTCTGCTGTGTCGAGTTTGCTCCAAGTCGAAGATACTCAGGTTTGAACGGAACACGTTTCTCCTCAAAAAACTCTCGCTTTACGGCTATTCTCACTTCCGCTTCTTCGCATTTTATTTCAAGTCCGACGCTTTTCCGAGTTTTTACAACACTTTTGCCAGCAAAGAAAACGTCCCACGTAGACAGCAAAACCACCAATAAGGAGACAAATTGCCTATATTTTACCCGAGTCACCATTTCTTTCTTCTTCTTTGTTTTATATTATTCTGTGGAAGAAAAAACAAGCTAGCTAGAGTAATTAATTACAGACAGGTGTGCTGAGATGTGCTTGCATGCACTGAATAGCGCTTATGCTATCTTCAAAGACTCCTACAAAAATTGTAAAATGTAAAGCGACGACTTGAAAAAACAGATTTTTCATTATAATTATGAAAGATATGATGTCTGCTACAAAATCTCGAAAATATTTTACCGAAAATAAGTGGAATTCAAATGTTTATTTCTTTCTGGATAAATAAAAAGTAAATTATTTCACTGGTTTTCCCAAAATACGTTAACTCTCAAAGGAGCTGCCAGCTATATTCGCAAGAATAAAACGGAGCTGACGAAAAGTTCCTGAAGGCAACATCGTTAGTGGGAACAATTCTAAAGCGGAACATCGCAAATGCACGGAAGGGACAGATATTACAGTTACACCAGGCGACTTCCGGGTGAATATTCCTTGTTATGAACAGCTGGGAAACATTTTTATTTCAAATGCGTAAACCAGTTAATTAAGTTGGAAATATGTGAGACAGTTTGTTGAAATGGATAAAACGATTGTAGCAGCGGAATGTGAGGACATTGACTGGGGAGGAAGTAGAGCTGAAGACGGGAAGGTTACTAAAAAGACCGGAACCTTATCAAAGAATGTCCACACCGGTCTCCCTAACCCACTTACAGATCCTGTGAAATGTTCTCTGATACAAGGAGACTATCTCTACTTCCATTACGGCTGTGATGGGCAGGATGACAGAGGCTGGGGATGTGGCTACCGCACCGTTCAGACAATGGCTTCCTGGCTCTGCCATAACTGTTTTCCACTGAGGGACAAACATAGACCTCCACCAAGCCTCCCAGAGATCCAGCAAGCCTTGGTCACCATGGGGGACAAACCGAGCTCGTTCTCGTGCTCCAAGGAGTGGATAGGAACATTTGAAGCTTCCCTTATCCTTGACTATTTCTATGATGTGCCCTGTAAGTTGGTGCATGTCAGAGGTGAAGGTGCAGAGCTGGAAAACGTTGCAGTGGCAGAGCTGCATCAGCACTTTGAGAAGCATGGATCTCCAGTCATGATGGGAGGGGACAGGGACAACTCTTCTAAGGGGATATTTGGGGTTTGCACTGGGGACAGAGGGAGCTACTTGCTAATTGTAGACCCTCACTACTATGGATGTCAGCTGGAGAAGACTGAGCTGCAGAGACGGGGGTGGGTGGCGTGGAAAAGGGTGTCATCTCTGGATCAGTCCTCATTTTATAATCTGTGTTTGCCTCAGACTGCCAAGAAAGGAACATAAATTAAGTGACAGACCTATTTCTGTTTCAGACTTACAAATTAATTATTATTTGTGAGGATGAACTACAGACAGAGTGTTATTAGGACAGACCCTGACAGCATTTATGATTTACAATGAGCTGTAGTGCCATCCTGTGGGGGAAATCAATTATTACAGTGTATCTTAAAAACAAACTGATGAAACTAATTTATCAACTTCTTAATTATTGCTCCAATAAAACTGTTGAATCTCAAATCTTCTTGGATATAAATGAAGTATGGTTTCTTACGTAGCTTCAAAAGTAAATGCTTCAGTTTATTTTCATTTAGAATTTTTTTCCATGGTGTGAACATGCAAATTAAGGCCATTCATCAACAGTTCTGGATTAGGATTTCAATGGGACATAATTTTTTTTTGCAGAGTAATCAATATTTAAAATGTCCTAATCGTTAAATTGACCTTTAGACTTAGCTTTTTGTTTTTACAATCATTAACATCCTTTTGCCCAATCTGTTGTCACATTTTCAAAACTCTAAACACAGTTAGCACCACATTGTCTGTTGTGGACCAAACCTACAGTTTTTAAAAGGATCATAGAATATGCAGTCAGTTAACGTTTCTAAAATGCTTAAATGTTCAAGCTTACCAAATACCAGAAATTAACACCTAAATGTTCAAATCGTAAATATAGTATAAAGCTTCAACTTGTGTGACAACAGCAGCAGCTCAAACACTATACTGAAACAGCTGATGAGCCTGTTTGAAGAACAGCTCAATGAAACATTGAGAAATAACTGATTTAAATTATAGCTGCTGTGCAGCAAAGGTCGGGGTCGGGCAATTTTAGGCAAAATTAGGCAATTCTGAGCAACAAGCAGAGTGTAGGAAGATGAAAAAAAGGTGGCATTCTAAGCATAAGAGGCTATGCTCTATCTCACTGAGCTAATTGGCAAGTGACAGTTCATGTGTGGCTTCACAAATTGACTAAGCCCAGCATCAGGGTGCCAGACAGTAGCCATCCATGCCATGGAAAAAACAAATTTCAAAGTGAAAGTTCCAAAGCTGTAGCACATATGGTTGATTTGTTATGAATTTTTAAAGTTTTGAAATTTATAGGCTTGCTGTAGCGCCACCATCAGGACTATTGTCTTGTGTTTCCAGTTGAGGACATCTGACATGGGACTGGACCTTTATGAAAAGTTTGGGTAGGTTTCTCATATAGAAATGTTGCATGAGCTGAGGCTTGAACTCACAATCTTCAACACCAAGAACCATCCTCTATCTCACTGAGCTAATTGGCAAACAGAAATGTCCCATGTAGCTTCACAAATTGACGAAGCCAGTCACCTGTGTGCAAGACAGCAGCTGTTAGTGTGTAAAGGCAGATTTCAAACGGCTGTCAAAAATTCAGTTATTAAGACAAAAATCCGAAAATACACAAATTGCATCTAGACAGCATGGAGATGCTGGTAATTTGTTTTTAACAATGATTTATTGGCTCCATAAGTGAAGAACTGATGTTTAAAAATACCATTTTTGCATTGACTCCAATTGTTCGCATGAGAGCGAAATTCAAAATGCTGTAAAAAATTAAGTTTTTGAGATAAAATTCTGATATTTTCCAAACATCATCTACCATGACTCCAAAATTTTGTCATTTTTTTAAATGAACATTGAAAATGTATTTAGCAAGAATTTGCAAGTATATGTTTACAATACCGTTTACAGTCAAACATTTTGATGCACTGTATGCTCAATTTTCAATAAATCAAAAATCTGTGTGGATCGTTTGTGTAGGACAGTCTGTAGATGGTCTGTAGCAAGTTTGGTGTCAATTGAGCAAAAATTGTGGGAGGAGATAGGTTTAATAAGTTTTACAATTTTTTAAATAAAATAAGAGTGATGGACTTCGTACTTTGCAATAGGTTTAAATGTACAAAAGTTTCTTCAGTATTGGGGCTACATTTTGGTGAAAGTTGTAAATCTGTAGCACATATGGTTCATTTGTTGTGAATTTTCAAAATTTTGAAGTTTAGAGGCTTGCTGTAGCACCACCATCAGGACTATTGGCCTGTTTTTGCAGCTGAGGCAATCTGGCATGGGACTGGACCTTTGTGCAAAGTTTGGTGATTTTTCTCGCAGAGGAAGAAGAAGAAGAAAAAGAAGAAGAACATGCAGGATAACAATAGAGCAGCTTAGGCTGCCCAGCCCCTAATAATTTGTGTAAAATTGGCCATTGTGATTGTTGCGGGCAAAAATCCTTGATTATGTGGCACGTTTTCTTAAAAAATGCGATGGAATATGCGGGATATTTATGCAATGTTATGCGATGAAATTGCGGGAACTTGCAAAAATTGCGGGAACTTGCAAAAACAGCGGTTTGATGATAAAGAGAAGAAAAAGTGATTCCCCTAACATTCTGTTCTCACTAGGCTACTACTACCTTAATGTAAAGAGTCATTTCTAATTACCTCCCATGATAAGCAAGCATACTACATCACAGAAAGTGCAGGGAATATTTAAGTTCTCATCTTGTTTTATTTCAGACCTTAATAAACACATGGCTCAAACTTACAAAACATTGCTGAGTCAAACAAGTTCTGTAGCTTTACAAAAAGAATATGCTACAACTTCTGTAAAACTGAATAAATAAAATAGGCTATATATTATGTCATGAAGGCGAGAGAGAGAGAGAGAGAGATCCGTTTTTGCGCACCTGCTGGTTAAGCGCTTTTTGAAAGGAGTCAGACGACAGAGACCTGTCACGCGCTCTTTGCCCCCGCAGTGGGATTTACCCCTTGTGTTACGCGCTCTGGGAGAACCTCCCTTCGAGCCTCTGTCACAAATCTCTCTAAAACTACTGTCATTAAAGACAGCACTTCTCTTAACCCTGACTTCTTAAGAGAGTGAGTGATTTATGTGCGCTTTCAGTCTCGCCGTCTTGTCTCGTTATCAGAGATGACGGGAGCGCAGCTACTCTGTGGCCGAATCGCACATTCATGCCTAAAATCATAACCAGTTCTTTTAGATCGAGAGTTATTTCACTGGAAGGTTTCTTCCCTCCTCCCCACAGGAGTGACAGAGACGAAAAAACACACCGACTCTGCCCAGTGCGCGCTCTGTCTCATTACATGACACGCACAGCAAGCCTCAGACAGACACAACAGCTGTTAGTACATTACAGAGAGCATTCACAAGGAAAACCCCTCTTGCAACGAAAAGGCGGGGATTATGAAATCATGCAAGCCCCGCATATTTTGCGCGGAAATCGGCGATTTATGCGGCGAAAGTGCGGCGTCTATGAAAAAATGCAGTTTTGGCTGATTTTGCGTTGAATTATGTGATCGCATAATCGCGTTTTTCTGGAGGGAGTGATGAAATGCAGTTGAGCCCCTCTCCACAGTGCACACAGAAAATATACAAAAACACATTTTCAAATAGGTTACTAAGTAATCTGAGGTGGATTTTACACATTTTATTATGCAATTTACTCTCAGAGAAGTCAGAAGGCATTCCGAGAAGCCACCTGACCATGGAACTATTTTTGGGTACCAAAAGTGAAAGTGAATATTCCAGCAGTATAAAGGGAGTCTGCACTGCAGGGCTGCATTGGCACAAACTGTGAGGTGTGGCACGTTACCTTCTGAGCACATCATTTACCTATGAACACTGCATAGCAAAGGAAAGTTCCAAAAAAGAGAATACACTGCCATGCTCGCATCTCTGTCTCAGAGGTGGGTTGCTACCGAGGTTTTTCTTTTGTAAGCGATTTTCTCCATTGTGTGCCGAATAGGAGGACCTGAAAAACTAGGTAAGTGATATCTACTACATAGAAAACCAATTATGTTACATGATACAGTTATATACTATTAAACCTGGTCAGGACAACGAGCAATTTATCATATATTAATAAATCTTGTCCGAAATACTTAACACTGACTAAATACTGACAGCAGGTTCAAACGGTGACCATGGAATCATAGTTGCAAAGTAGCCAACAGAACTGGAGTCTGTGGCGTTTTACTGGTTCAGCAGCCAGATGCATGCATGTTTATGATGAAATATTTTTATATGATGTATGTTTTGTATTTGCAAGAACCAGTCATGTGAAAGGGGTGGAGGTGGGGGTCTAAAGCAAGACTGGTATAAATTATTATTGTGATTAGTGAAATAATGCCATCAAGTAGGCTACATAGTATTTAAAACTTAGCAGGATGGTTATACTACTACTATAGTCTATAAAGGAATAAAGCCTGAGATTTATCTCTCATTACTTTCAGTGAGAAGCTCTTTGAATAACCTGGAGTGAGTGTGGGATAACAGTGTGTACCCACAATGGAGGTAAACAGCTGGTTTCTACATCTCCAATAGATACATAAAATCTAATGGGAAAACTGTATGGGTAAGAGAGTTGATTCATTCCATTGCATTATATGTTTGTCATTTATCAAGGAAATCAGTGATGAAGACTCAGTTGTTATGCTTTGCTGTAAGGAAGCAGAGGACTCTCCATCAACACCATGGTCTGACAGCAAGAGTGACTGTCAGCAGACTGATGCAAGTGATAAAGGTCAGCTTCATACAATCTAATGTTGAGCACAGAGGCACTAAATGGTGTGCAGTCTGTACATAAACTAGCTTTGAGTAAAATCCTTATTATTGTTATTTCCACAGTGCCCTGCCCTACTTTGAGCAGCCAGCAAGTGTCCTCTGCTGGTGAAGAGGAGAGCTACATTGAGATCAATTGCAGAGAGGAAGAAAACATGCAGGACACAATGGACACAAACAGCTCAACACCAGGAGCGCAAAACATAATCCATGTTCATGAAGAACCGAAGACTGAAAGAATAAGTGAACCTGTCATAACATCTGCACACACTAGTGAGTAAAAAAAAACCTTATTA